ACCACAACTATATCATATTTACATGCGATGTTAATATTAAATCTAATATAGCTTCTTCTCTTCGGTCACTTGTACTTAAATACTCACCACAACTATATCATATTTACATGCGATGTTAATATTAAATCTAATATAGCTTCTTCTCTTCGGTCACTTGTACTTAAATACTCACCACAACTATATCATATTTACATGCGATGTTAATATTAAATCTAATATAGCTTCCTCTCTTCGGTCACTTGTACTTAAATACTCACCACCACAACAATATCATATTTACATAACATGCTAATATTAAATCTAATATAGCTTCCTCTCTTCCAAGTTCCATCACCAGTTGGTGTATAAAAGTATCCTGAATAATGTCCAAACACCTATCCCCTCACTGTCAGACTAGCAATTTTCCCAATCAATACCCCTGATATTAAAATATCCCATAATAACATCTTTTTCAGCTACCATTCTGATCTCATTATACAGTTTCTCATTAACTTGTACGTTCTGACCTGGTGGTCTATAACAAATCTCAGTTACAAGAGTTTTCCCTTTATATCCACTAACCCAAACTTACTCGACCTCAATTCACTCCTCACATATAAATCTACTCCTCCCCCCTTTTTTCAATACTCTATCTCTAGTAAATAATCTGTAGCCTAATATTTCAAGAAAATTTCAAATTCAACCAAGTTTCAGTGATACCCATAATATCAAAATCCTCAGTTTCCACAACTGCTTTGAACTCATCAGTTTTATTTCTAATACTCCTAGCATCACAACAGTAACAATTAATCATATATTTTAAAATACATTCATGTTTTATGACTGTTGTAAATGTTTTCCTCTCAATTATATTCTCTATTTTATTCATATCATAGCCCTCATCCCTGTCTAGCCCTAGTTTAAATCAACCAATACAGCCGAGTTAATAGTCCTTGTTAAGATGGTAGCCCCTATCTTGTTCAAGTGTAAGCCATCCACTCCAAAAAATTTACTTTCTCTTTAAAATTATCCCATAAACCCAACCAGCCTATTTATCATCACTACATATTGACCTCAGCCTGACATTCAATCCTAGTGACCTACTTAGTATCTCATCCCCACAATGTATTCTTGGCAATATCCCTGACAAAATCAAGCTATGACCCCTTTCCTTAAATGCCCTATCAATGTTTTATACTTATCAATAAGCTCCTCAGATCCATCTTTCTTTACATCATTAGCCCCAACATGTACCACAAAAACTGCATTGCTACTAACACCCTTAACTATCTCTTTGGTTCTATCAGTTATATCCTGTATCCCTGCTCCTGGATAGCATAAGCATATTCTTTTGCTCCTATTTACTCCACATACTACTGTATCTACATGCCTAACTGGAGAGTCACCTACAATTTCCCTATCCTTTACTATCATCCTTTGTGATCCCATCTGTTTCCCTTACTTTCTCCCCCTCATCACTAGCAAGTGTTTGGAACCAGTTGCTTAACCTAAACCCAAGCCCATCCTTGATCATAAATGCATTATTTTCCAAGTTTTTAGCCTTATTTCCTTTCAAATATACTGACTCAAAAATTAAACTACAACATATATTAGAGTGGGCAGATGAAGCATTTAAACTTTTCAAAAGAATAGGATTAAATATAGTGATCATTGTTATGAAATAATATAGCTATACATTTAAAAGAAATGTATCACAAAATGAATTTTATTTATCAAGCCATATGGAAGTTGAAAAACTGAATCTTGAATTTCATATAAATATTTGAATAATATAACTACTCACTATAGCATGTTTTTGTTTCCACATTACAACCTTCAGTTGGCTTGCAATGGGAGTCTTCTCTGCATTCAGGGTAATGGCCTGAATAAAGTCATAGAAAGTGAAATGTTAATATCTCAGAATTAAGAAAAATATTTCAATTAAGATAATTCTTTCCCGAGATTAATAAGGCCTAAGAAAAATTGATGGTAACATTTGTTAAAAGTATTAATAATATAGGTACTAATGTTACCAACTTGTTTTTTTTATGTCTTAGGAAGTAATATTTTACACGATGTGTAGCTATGATACTTGTAGCAGCAAAAACTACATTACTTAGTTGTTTGTTATGGAAATTTGCACATAGATACACAAGGGCTTTCTGCACTAGACATCCCTAATTGTGAACTGATAGATTACAGGAAATACAGCTAGTCAAAAGCATACACCACTAACTCTTGGATACTCTATTTGTATTTTACTGTTACTCTTATGACATACTTATGGCCCCAAAATTTGCAGTGCAACTGTGGAGTAATGGGATGCAAACAATGGATAAACACAGTTTAGCACTTGAAATACCAGGTCATGCCCAGCCCATCTACATTAAATAGCACAATGAATGTTTATGATAACATTCCTGTTTAACAAAGTTTTAATTCATTTTGGATGTATATGATAAATATCACAAAAGTGAGAAGATACTTTTTTTCTAATCTGGGTGACATTTCCAGCAGTTTCAGTTCAAATCATAGTAAACTCATTTTTTTAATATAACAAATTTTTCTCATCTGATTTATAGTATAGACAATTTGTGAATTTTTCCTTTTTTTTTCTTAAATATAAAAAGCCTATAATCCAAGCACTTTCAAAAGGTGGACCTTTTTCAGGGGCAAACGTTTTTTTACGTATGAGAACTTATTAAAAATATTTTCTAATGTGTGAACATACCTAGACTAATACTGGAAATTAAATTTGGTTTGCTATCATTATAATACAATATCCTTATATTAGAGCCATTTGACATACTGAGCTGTAAACATCACACTATTGTAATGGAAACTGTGCAGGAAGTTCTTCTGAAAATTTGCATATACTGTAAAATAAATAAATATTTGTAATTTAGACACTTATTCCAAGCTATAACAATGTCTTAAACAATAAAATGAGTGAACCACAACTGTATAAAAATTATAAAAAGAAACACTCACAGTGACCAGTGTAAGGTTCTCCAATAAGGTCAGGTGGGCATGAACACTTATAAGAACCTGCCAGGTTTGTACAAACTGCTCCCACAGCACAAGGGCTATGACCTTGAAGACACTCATTAATATCTAGTGAAGAACACAAATCAGATAACATTTAAGATCAATATTCTAATAAAACTTTCCTTTTGAAATGTCAATAACAAATTTATCATGTTCACTGTACTAGATGAAATAGATCAGTCAGAGCTAAAAGAAGGTTTAAACAAATTACAGAAACAATCCTATAAGTAAGCAGAACAAATAAAGCTCGATTAATTAAATACCACAAGACATATGGGTAAACCAAATACAATGGAAAGTGTTAAGGAACAAAGAGCTAAAGATAAGGCTGTGTCATTATATTTTGTTTAACCTAAGATTACTACTGCACTTTTACACAGTTTATGACATAATGACATATCTAAAATAGAAAACTATTTTTTTCCAATAATATACATTCAACGGTAAAATTTAGAACAATTGTTAAATTGTAATGAAGGTAATTTTTTTGCTGAAAAATTTACATTCTTATGAAACTAGCTCTCTACAATTTGCAGACAAGACTTATGGCTCTGAATTGATATGTAAAAAGAAAAGTCAGGTGGTATTATTCAGGAACAGGTAAAAATGCTTTCTTATGATATGATGTTTGATTATTTTAGTTAATGTAGTGAAACATACAAATTACTACAATAAAACTTATACACAGAAAAATATAATTGACAGCCTTTTTTTCTTTATCAGGTAACTTACCTTTACAATTTTGATTTACACAGACAAAGCCATTTCCACAGTCACTACCAACTTCACAAATAGGCCATGCTAAAAACAAGTTATATACAATAATCAGTAATTAAATAATTCACTTTCTAATTTCCAATATATAAAAAATAGATTAGATATATGCTTCAATTCATGTGCTTCACTATTCCATTTCATGATTTCCTGTTGTAGAACTTTTTTTAGGGAAGATCAAATTATATTATTTTTTGTTGGTAAATAATTTAATACTTTTTGTTTATTTGTCATTAAGCATAAAACTACACAATGGGCTATCTGTACTGAGCCAACCTCATTATCAAAACCCAGTTTTAAGCATTATAAGCACACTGACTTACCATTGAGCCACTGGGAGGCATTTTTAATGTTACAGAAGCATCAGTTATTTGATAAAAATGCTATATAAAAATAACAAGCATAAAACAGATAAAGGTAAATATCTCTAAAGAATCCTATAAAAATTCCTAAATACTGATGAAAATACACTGATAGAAAAACTTTTTGTGCATGCTTATGTATTAAAGTCACTAATAATAATTTTTTATGGTACTAATTAATTTAACTTAGCAACAGAATTGACTAGAATTGCAACTTTAATGGCACTTTTACCACTGGATTGTATGACAAAGGTGTAATTGAAAAATATTTTTGATATCAGATGTTTTGATAATACAGTCTGACGCTAATTTTTAAATTACCTAACAGTTTCATGCTTTCTTGTGTTCTCAGGTTGATCAGACTTTGATATTCATCAAACTTTAAGAAAATCAAATAATATTAACTTACATAAAATTTGAAACTATAAATCTATTACAAAGTAAAATATGAATAGTCAATTGTAAAACTTGTTCTACCTATGGAGCAACCAGCTCTGGGAGAACCTGTATAACCTGGCAAACAAGTACACACAGCAGTATGGTTCAAAGTTCGACATAAAGTATTCACACCACAAGCACCACCAACTAAGCAGGGATTCTGGCAGACAGTGTTGATGCAAGCCTCATCAAAAGCACAGTTACTATCAGTACGACAACCCACTGAAAAACAAACATAATGATGTTCAACTTCCATAAAGATAAAAATTAGTTTATATTATTAAAGCCATCAATCTATCAATTTAAAAGAACAGAATAAACAATTTACCAGATTACATCTTAGAATTATCTACAGTCTAACAATATTTTCTAAAATTATTTCCTTATATCTTTGAACTTTAATTGTAAAAATAAATTATTTAATTTTTACAACTATTCAGAAGATTAGTTGATCAAGGCGATCTTGAAGGCCAGTGGAAAATTCTTTTATGTAAGTATGTATGTAACAAAAGATGTATTGATAATATACATATTCTTAGTTGAGTAACGGTTTATTAACTGCTAATTCAGCTCACAAATTATTAGGATTTCTTTTAGAAAAATAAAGAATAAACAAATATTCCTCTCAGATAACTCTGACAACAGGCATGTAACAAATATGATAGATAAATTAATATACTAAATAATCTGACATAATTTTAGAAACAAAAAATTAAGAAATTTTGGTTGCCAAATTTTAATAATCTATTTAAGGAACTTATCTATTTGTAAATGTCTTCTTTATTACAGAATCTTTCTCTCATTTCTTTTGTCATAAATAAGTCTAAATGTTTTCAACTGAATGGTTCCCAAATAGTCTGTGTCATCCTCATAAATCATTAACTGGCCTCACTTACATACATATATTTACAATATACATCTCCTTTTGTTATTATAAAACTATAATTTTTATGTTTATTATAGCTTATTCTAGGAAATCATATCAAAATTATAACTATAACACTGGTACACAGAATGTACACAAATATATTACAGATATAGCCTATAGTTTTTTTACAAGACTTACCTATACACTGTGAACGATGGCATATAAAACCAACAGCACAGTTCTCATCATCCTTGCATTGTGTTTCATCAACTACATTTGAAAAGAAAAAGAAGATAAATGTAGTTTCATTCTTCACAAACAACTTGTATTTTATGGAAAAAGAACTTCATAAAGTGAGAAATAATCAATTACTGTTAATCAATTGGTGCCTGAGAATATTTTCATCTGTTAGTGATTAAACTGGGTAACTCCAAATTTTACTAAATCCCAATATTGTAAGATTTTGCAAATGAATAACTGTAATTACTTTATCAGTTTTCTAGGCTACAGCTAAATGCTTTATAACTTACAGATAATGCATGTGGGTTATCATAATTTGAATTATAAGTATAACTTGGATGGGAATAACCTTAACAGTGTTATGAAAGAAAGGGATCTTGGTGTAATGGTTGATCAGTCTCTTAAGCCATCCAAGCACTGTGCTGTTGCTAGTGGTAGGGCAAATAGGATTTTAGGTTGTATCTACATAAATATTGAATACAAGTCTAAAGAGGTTATAATTTCATTGTATAGGTCACTGGTTATACCAGATTTGGAGTATTGTGTTCATTCTTGGGCTCCTTACCTTAGAAAGGACATTGAATTATTGATAAGGCTTCAGAGAAGAGTTACTAGAATGGTGCCCAGGAAAGCGTATTTGTCATATTAGGAGAGATTAAGATCTTTGAAATTGTTTTCTCTTGAAAAAAGAAGAATTAAAGGGGATCTGATTGAGATGTTTAAGATTGTAAAGGGAATTGATAGTAACTGCGTGGTGTAGAAATACTAGTGTAGAGGATGACATTACAAAGCCTTTCAAATTGTCGCCCTCTACACTTGTGTTTCTACAACAGGCAGTTGTCATTCATTCAAATAAGTTTCATAATTAATACTCTGCCTAAACAATCTATCAAGGAATTGATAGTATTGATGCATCATCTTTTTTCATCCTTAATGGTGAGAATAGTAGGACCAGAGGACACAAATATAAATTTTTTTCAAGGTAGTAGTCATCTTCAGCTAAGACAGTTTTATTTTTCTAACAGGGTAGTTGGCCTTTAAAATGGGCTGCTTTCAGATGTTGTGGAGGTAGTGCATTTAAGTGAAGGGTTGGTAACTATATGAATGATAAGGGCTGACTTTAAGATTTTTTTTTTAAATTTATAATAGTTTAGAGGATGTGACAGCCAAAATGGACCAATAGGTTGTTGTCCTTAAAAGTTTTTATTATATTATGTTAAATTAACTCTAGTAGAAAAAAAATTAAACATTATAGTCTTACCACATCAAAAGTTATCATATATTTCTGAAGTGAGATTATCAAAATGAAAAAAACAAAAAAGAGAATCAGATTAACAGATATATAACAATCACAATTTTATATATATATACATGTATTACTTGAAAGCATTTTGGCATAAAAGTTCTAACTTTTTTCTGAACACAAACACAACATTTCTGTAGTGGAGAAGTTCATTTGAAGGTTTCTTTGTTTATGAAATGGTAAATGACAGAATATACTGGTAGTTTCAAATTCTTTATGAATGATAAAGTTTCAAGCAAGTACCGTACCTTTCTTGCACAGGATTTCTGGATTTCCAGTGAAGCCACTGGGGCAACGACACCTTGAAAAGTGGTTGACAGGGATACAATATGCATTCTTACCACAAACACCACTCTGGTCACATGGGTTCACACATTTACTACGAATACAGGCTTTGTCTGTTGGACAGTTACTATCAGTACGACAGCCATCTGATTAAATAAATAATATTTTTTAATGACTGTTACCTATAAAAATGTCAAATATAAGTTTAAAAAGGCAAAATTATGTCACTAAAACAGTAAACTTGTTAATGATTACTTTCAATTACATATTTTCATTGTATGCTATCCTCATATTTCAAAAATGGATATACTCAGTACTCTGCCCATGTACTATAAGATACAGTATCAAGAGCACAGTTATTCAGTAGCATAAATTCGAAATGGACAACCTCCCTGGCTGGTGAAATGGTAATTAGATGATGTTCTTAGTCACATTCAGGTATATTCATCAAGTCTATCATTCTTCTGTGTATTCTAAGTGTTGAAAGAGGTCGACCAAGTAACAGTTCCTCTAACTACACTAATAACTTCACCATTCAGACAGTACAGACTCAACATTAGTGCTTACACACAGAAGAACCACAGACATGCAGCTAGCCAAATGCATGAACAAGATTGCTTTTGCAGGTAAAGAAATTAGTCTCTTACTTTTGTAATTCATTTGAACAAATAAAACAAAACGGAAAAGGTTTGACATAGTATGCAGTTTTCAAGATAAGCAAGGCACAGACTGTTTATTCTTTAAACACATAAATAGCAGAAAAAAATGGAATTATTACCGGAACACCTTCTTCCTTCACATATCTGACCAGCAAGACAATCAAGATCTTCCTTGCAATGAATAACTGGAACTAAACAGAAAAAAGAAAATAAAGTTCAACTTATCAGCTCATTAACAGGTAAATAATTATGTCATTATTAACATAGTTGGTTAAATTGACCAGCAAAAATAAAAAAGTCTAAAATGCATTCCAACATCTTTTTTTTATAGTTAAGTGCTACAAAAAGTATTGCAGTAATAAATGCTAAGTGAAATTATTTTTAGTTATAAGAGTTATAGTTCCACTTACCTCATGGATACACTTAATTTTGTAGGGTATAACTAAATTTAAAATTAATTAGCAATTTTTTTAAATTACATAAAAATCCTAATAAATTAAACTTTGACTTGTCAAAACTTAAGTTACAGATGAAAAGCCACAACTTCTTTCTCATTTCTTAATATTGGCCTTATTTCAGGCAGTGGTGTATCAGTCTTGTCTCACTTAAATACAAAATTTCTTTAAATTTAAAAATCTGAAAATATATGTAATAGAAAATTGTATATTATTTTGATACTTATACTCATGTCAGTTATATTTAATTTACTAATTACACCAAATTACGATTGTTGAAATGAATAGTCCAAAAGGTAAGGATAACAAAGAATTTATTAAGTTTGAGGGGAAAGTTTTCTGAAGCAAAGCCACCAAATTAAACTTTGTTTAATAATAAAATGAAAGTGATGTGAAAAATTCAACAGAAAATAATTGTGAAAACACAGCAAACACAATGTGTGTAAATTTTTAAACATGTGACACTAATATATATGATCTAAATTTGCATCTAATTACTTGAGAAATATTTCTGTTAAATGGTTATGGTTGTGTGTTTCACAAAAAGTAATTTTTAAAGCTTTTTAAATGAAAAAGAATTCATCTGCTTATACAACGTCACAAAAACCTGTTTACAAGTTCTATACTCTCTTCTGTGTGTTTCATATTTCTTTTCACTTCCATAAAAAAAGCTCATACTGATAAATGGATAGGGCTAATAGAAAGGGAGCCAATTCATTACATTAATAAATTTTTTCATTATCACTTAGTCTTAAGACTAGTTTTGTGAAAGCTAACATTGATAACAGATAAAACTTACTTGGAACACATTGAAGCCTTGGATTTCCTGTAAATTGGGGTAAACAAGTGCACACTCGATCATGGTTGTGCGGTCGGCACTCTGCATTTTCACCACAGGCTCCAAATATTTTACATGGATTTTGGCAATGATTATTCAGACAACTTTCCTTAAATCCACAGTTAGCATCACTTCGACAGCCCACTGTAATTAGGTAGATATGTTACTTTACAAGGGCTTTTCAAAACTATCCTTATTTAATTACCTCAAAACTGTCTCAGACGGAATGGTGATTTTATATTGTGTTAAATGTGGAACTTCTGTATTTTGTGTGCAAATTATGTAAAAGCTACCAAAATAAAGATTCAATGACCAATAATGTAAAATACATGCATTACATTGATTAAGACAAATCAGATAGGACAGAAATGTTTAAAGTAAAAATGAAAATCTCAAAATGTGCCACACACTTTTTTTTAACTAAGTCCTTGAAGAGTTGGCAGGTGCCAGAAGATTAGAAGTTGGCTAATGTTACTTCATTTTTCAAGGGATGTGATATAAATTGTCCCAGTATTTATGTAATTATAGGCCTATTAATCTTACATCAGTGATGGGAAAAGTTTTGAAAGTCTGATAAAAGATGCTTTGCAAAGTTATTTAACAAAGTTTACAATTTTGTTGGATAATCAGTATGGCTTCACTAGGGAAAACTTTTGTCTTAGGAATCTTTTGAAGAACTTACTGCATATGTAGATGAGGTTATGGATGTGGATTTGTGGTATTTGGATTTTCAGAAACCATTTAGTAAGGTACTGCATAAAAGACTTGTTAAAAAGTTACCTCTGTATGTGTGGCAGGGGAGTTTGGCTCATTGGATAGAAAAGTGACTGGATGGAAGAAAACAGAAGGTTATTATAAATGAAGTTCATTCAAACTGGATTAATATCACAAGTGGGGTACCTTATGGCTCAGTGTTAGGATTTTTGCTCTTTTTGGTATATATCAATGACAAAGATGAAGGAATAGTGAACAAATTATTTAAATTCGCTGATGACATTAAAGTTTTCGGTGTTGCTGGCTTTGAGGAGAATGCTGCTCTTTTACAAAAGGATCTGGAGTATTTGGTGAGTTGGGAGAACATATATCAAATGGCTTTTAGTTACACTAAATACAAGGTAATGCATGTGGGGTATGACAATTTGAATTAAAAGTATAATTTTAATTGGAATAACCTTAACAGTGTTATGAAAGAAAGAGATCTTAGTGTTCTGGTTGATCAATCTCTTAGGACATCCAAGCAATGTATTGTTGCTAGTGACAGGGCAAATAGAATTTTAAATTGTACTTAAAAAAATAATTAATGCAGGTTTAACACATTCACTGCTGCCTTGGAGACCAATATCCATGCCAGGTACCATTGTTTATTTTTATTAGGAATATTTTATTAATGTAAAATAATATCAGATAGAGTATTTATAGGCATATATGCTTATTCAACTAAAATCTGTAGCATGACATACATGAGCATCATTGGCACTGCAGCTAAACATTTTTTTATGAATACTGCATGATGCACATGTGTGCCCTCTATTTTATACACCTTGTCATGGTTTTGAGTAATTTTTGAATGTGCAAGAAGAGTAAATTATAGTCATGGGAATAGCACATCTGTTAATGATATTTTCTGATGTACATCAAATGTAAAATAGCAAATAAAACGAAATAAATTCTGTTAGGCTACTTTTTAATCATTATTTCTTTATGAGCTTTTGTAAAACATGGCTCAATACAAAGGGCTGATTTCTTAGAACAATTTTCACAATAACACATTGTGTCTTTACACTTTCCCCCCCCCCCTTCAAAACACACTGAACAACATTTCAAATTCTTCTTTTTTTTGCCTTGGGCTTTGAATGAGCATTATTTTTATCTGTGTGGCAGGGTAGAAGTCATACTCAGTTAAGACAGCCATATTTTTCTAACAGGGTGGTTGACTTTTGGGATGGGTTGCAATTCAGATGTGGTGAATGCAGTTAATTTCAGGGAGTTTGAATGATAAAGGCTGGATTTGAGTGTTTTCTTTTTTATTTTAGAGTTAGTATAGTGGATGGGACCTCCTAGATGTGCCAAGAGATTTTATTTTTCACTTATAGTATATGGATATATATGTATGGTAAAATGTTTTTTAGTTATATACTATTCCTTATCCTTCTAGAAATTTGAATTATAACTTTTTTCTGCTGGTCATCTATTTTTCTAAAGACAAATATAAATCAAGATTTAATTCTTAATACTATGTAGCAATTTATAATTGAAAAAATGACCAAAGTATCATGCTCTGAGTTTTGGAGAAAAATTCTTGCATTGGGGTACACTTACAAACATTTAACTATCTGAAATTAATCAATGTAAATACTAGCCGTGACCCACAAAACATTTGCAGTAGTTTTTCATGCCCTTCACTTGAATTTTCCTTATTCTATCATTTTCATGCACGCCATTTAATCTACACTTTCTTGCATGCATTATGTGTTAGATCAATAAATCCTGGTATATTTGGAAAAATTTTGTGTAGTAAGAAAAACAAACTCATATAGATGTAACTTTATTTGAAAAAACTACTTGTAAAGTAAACAATAAGGCAAAGTAATGGTATTTATAATAGTGTAAAAAGTATGAAACAGTTATGAGCTTTCAGTGTTTTACAAGTTGAAATGAAGAAACTCACAAAAACGAAGAATAAAATCCATAGTAAAGGTGTTTATAAAGTAAATGTAAAGTTGTAATGAAGTTGAAATATCTGAATGCGTGTTCACAAAGTGATAAGCATATGATTTAGAATGAACTGAACATGCATATTTTAGACCTAAATAAGTTGAGAAAGCCCATAGAAATTGTATTTAGAGAATGTTCATCTTTCTTAAGGAAACTACATGTGGGTTAAGCATTGTTTGTGTGAAATACTTTGCAAATAAATAACTAAAGTGAAGAACAAAGCCAGTCATCACGTGCTGACAACAATATTGTGCTATCTTACATGTAAAATACTTGTTATATTGAAAAGTTTGACTAAACAAAAAGCAGTTAAGATCATTCTGAATTGAAAAGCCAATATGCAATCCGAACTCCTCGAACAAAGGCCTTTCTAACAATACAAAAGTTGTAGTGTTTGATCAAGGAAATTTGTGTGAAAAGTTTTGGATGGACAAATGCAAGCGTATTATTTATATAGATGTTTGAATTAGTTTAAGTGCTGAGTTTATTAACTTTAAACTGAAAAGAGAGTAAGTTAGATTAATATCAGAAAGAAGATGCTTATTTGTACTTTCTTCACTGATTTTATTAAATTAGAATATATTCTTCTTTAAGGTAGTATTCATTATAATATCCAAAACTTTGTTTAAAAAGTTTATAAATGTCCTTACTAAATGCAATATAAAATAAGCTGAGTTCAATCCAGTTCATAACACTAATCACAATATAATTATACATACTGTTAGCTTTGGTATGCACTATAAGAAGTAATGACATTGGATGTTCAGTTGAATACTCTCTTTTTTCTCATCACAAATGAAAAATGTCTCCTAAAAATTCTGTTTACTTGATGTAGCACTGTATCAAATACATTTCAGTGTTCAATATTATATGAGTTTATTAAAGCATCAACGTAAAATTTGTTTGTTGTTATCAGCTTCCAGTTTAGCAAAATCATTCAACGTTTTTACGAGAATGAAGTTTACATTGATGTGGTATTTTATATATCAGAGAAAAAGAATTATGTAATATTTCACAAACAGTTATTATAAACACACAATAATTATAAAAAGAACAAAAATTAATGGACAAATAATAGTTCTCTAGATATAGAAAAAATACTAGTCTACTTACCAATACATTTATCAGTTTTACAAATCTTCCCAATAGGACAGTCGACATCTTTCTTGCAGTATGGATCAGTGACTGTAAATGAAATTATATTGTAATTAAATTTCCTTAGTTCAAGTGCTACCACAATATTTTATATAAATAAAAGAACAGCAGTTTTACTGTAGGTATTTATAGAAAGAAACATTGTTGCTGTAAGTTGACATACTTCTCATGACTTATAATTTACATCTAGTTCTTTCATTAGATGTGCTGGGATATGGCATAAAGCTAAGTTTGTGTTTTGAGGGAAGGAATTAACAGAGCTTTACGACATGTTTTGCTGTATGCTTACTTTTTCTCATATACTTAGCTAGAAACTCACATTGAATAGGTAGAGGGACTGTTGCAAGGGAGAAAAAGAAAAGAGAGGCATCCTACGAGAATGTCCGAAGGACCCCCCCCCCCCCCAATAGGGAACCCTCAAATAAGAAGATGATAGGTGGAAGATCACATCATTCCTGTATCAGCTATACTCTTCACCCAGACATGGAAAAGGTGAGACTGAGTTGTGCAGACAAAAATGAGGAGCACATCTCATTATGAGTAAAATAAAATATGTGCCCCAAGGTGTAGAGTGGCTAGGGCATGACAGACTATGCATGGCAAGTCAACTGCATCCAAAGCTCTACTATCGAGAACTGACATCCATGGTAAGACAACTACAATCCAAAACTCAACTGTAGGGGACTAACATCTAAGCAGGGGTAGGAAACAGGGTCAGACAGTCTTCTCCTCAAGTGTCAGTCAACTGGAGGGAGAATTATCACCACCGATTGGTGAACAGGGCACATGCGATCGGAATGAAATACAGATATATCACTCTCAAATCAAACAAACCGGAACCACCCCAAATGCAGTACCATCCCAAGAGCAACAACCAAGTGCACACGTCTTGACCCACGACACAGGGAAGTGTACCAGAGATTAACTGAGTAAGTGAGTAGAGACACCCTGAACACGTGTGAGGATTTATATTGATTGATTCAGCTCTAAGTCCAAAACCCAACCACTGGGAACCAACATCCATGTGAGAGTAGGATGAGGGATCGCAATCGAAGGGATGAACTGTCTTGACACTGGCACACTACATGTGTGAGTACATCATGTTAATTGGTTCAGCTCTAAATCCAAAACTCAACTGCCAGGAACCAACATCCAGGCAGGGGTAGGATGAGGGATACCAATCATGTCTGCATCAGCAGAATACTACCACCCTACTCTCAACTGGATAGATGCATTATTTTTATATTGTATATTTCACATTCAGGAGGAGACCTCCATGGTCCACCAATCCAACATCTTAGAATGGAAAGTGGTAAAGACTCTCTTACTCCATTGGAGGAAATGGGGGGAAAACCCAGTGTAAAGCCTGGAGGAATGTTCACACCATAGACAGTGAAATGGGCGACCACAAAACCTTTTATTGAAAAGCAGACCAACCCTGATTTATTCAATCTAGGGAATGGCAGGGAGGGGCAGCTATCCCCCTTCCATTTTACTCATAAAGTCCATGGGTAAGTATAGTCTGGAATGAGCATATTTAAGAAGCAAATATATTTTTCAGGGGTCTATCCCATGTTTTGTTCTGAATCTTGCTCTGTGGCGAGTGGTGCGTGGCCAGGTATATTTCACTTTCTTAGTTTGGTACTTAAATCTGCACTGAAAGGCCATTTTGGTTTTTTGGTTTTCTTGCATGGCCATTAAATGCACACTGATCTGTAATATACTAGAGAATGGGTATTTTGCAAGATCGCCTGTAGGTTATTCCTTGTGAGATAAATAAGGAAAAAAAACTTACCCAGTTATAGTCGCACTGACGTCTAAAGAATGGCAACAGGTGGAAGATGATAACCCAACAAGGAAGAAACAGCAACATGATGCTGATAGTGAGAGATGAAAGTATATGGAGTGGTCCACATGAAGTGGCTGCTTGAAGAATTTCCTCCAATGGGTGATGCAGATGAGAAGCCAGAGAAAAAGTGATGTGCCTAATTTGATGGGAAGACACTGAAATAATTGACTAGAAGGAGGAAATAAGAAGAATAAGCCAACTGAATTAAAAGGAAGGGTGGGAGGAGATCACGAACAGAGGATAGTTGCCAAGGGATGAATAGATGGGAATGGTAATGACAGAAAGAATCCATGTATGTGATATAACAATGAAGATCACAAATGGGACATAGAAGTCTATCTGGATCAGACTGGGAATAGAAGTGGGAAATGGATGGAAGGGAAATCAGCGAGAAGGAGGAATCACCCTCCCTAGTCATCAAGGTATTGGGAAGAAAGATCAAACTGGGTAAAGGAAAAGATAGGAGGAATGATACAGAGTGTGTGAAATGTTGATGGCAAACAAATCTGACCAACGACATCCACAGGCCAAAAGGAGGAAGAAATACACTTTAAGGGATAAATGAAACATGGAACAAGAAGAAGCAGACAAGTGTGTTGGGCTGACTCCAGATTGTAATGAGCAAAGAGAGGCCAGTCATCCATGTAATGGCGGAAGCACAACCCTTGAGTATATATAATAACCACAAAAGTCTTGACCACCGAACAAAAGACATATGGGGCTGTAGGAGGCCCAAAAGGAAGAGCATAAAATTGATAAACTACCCCCCATGATGAACAAACTAAAGGTAGTGTCTCGATATGAAAATATGTAGATAAACATTTGAGACTTTGACCTTGACCATCCATAAACCCAGAGAAAAAAACCATCTGAGAGTGAAAAATGACTCCATGGTAAAATGAGGTAGAATCAAGAAGCGTTTGAGGCATGAAAGATCTATCACAGGCTGCCAGTCTCTGGTTTTCTTGGGGACCACAAACAGCCTGGAATAAAATCCTGAAGAAGGGTGAACTACAGGTTCAATGGCATGTTGAGATGGAAGATCTTGTACTGCCTCGTACAGATGCTGAGGATCTCAAAGCAACAGAAATGAAACAGGTATTGGAGACAATGGAGGAGGGGAGAAGAAATGGATGACAAGTCCCTTTGATAAAAACCTGAAGAAACCATAGATTCCTGGCAAAATCTTGCCATTGATGAACAAACTGGGATAAATGAGCCCCTACTGGACTAGAATCAACAGGGTAGTCAATGATACTGTTGGCGACATGACACTCGTCGCTGAGGAAAATGACGAGAAGATCCTCTTGTGGAAGGAACAGGGTTGGGAAGGAGTATAATGGGGAAAGATATAGGGGATTGTCGAGGCTCTGTGTGAGATAAATGATCAACCAATGAGGAAAGAGTCAATTGCTGTCTCACAGATGTCCCCCAAGATTTCAAGATTCCCAGAAGATCTCCAAAGACTGACCAATGAAGAAAAGGGGTGAGGCATAAGTCCGAAATATAAGGAGATGGTAAACAAACGTGGGACAAAACCATGTTTCTCCCCAAAAGATCCCAACAACAGAGGTACCATGTGTGTAAAGAAAGAGCAGAAGTCGACAAATGTACCAACAAGGAGGTAATTAGGGCAAATATATCTCCAAAGAAACTTTCAGGATCAAGGTGGATGGTGCACAAGTATTGTAGGATAGATGTGAGGGTAAGATGAAGGAGAGAAAATTGGGCATGGGACAAAAGGACAGGACAATCAGGAACCACCCTCCAAACAGGTAAAATGGATTCCAAGAGTTGCAGGAACAGAAAATAGGTCTGATGGTAGGCCAAAGTACATTGGTCCACAGCCCATAAAGGGCAAGGCATGCTCGTGCCATCACGTAATTGAGAGACAAAATTTTCAGCATGAACCCCAATACCAGGAGAGGCTAGAAATACAAAATACTGAGAGGAAGGAGTATCATGTAACAAGGAAGGTAGAGGATTATTGAAAATTGGGGAAAGGAATAAAACAAAACATATCTGTGAAATCATGTTCAAAAAAGCCTTATTAGGCCTAACAGAACCCACAGGAGTAACCAGGGAAGACACAGCAAATTCAAGTGGAAGAAAAACAGGTTCGCATTGTTCAGGAGGAAGTTGGGCAACATCAGGAGAAGAAGTTTGGTTCAAATAACAATCAATCTCTCGACGATTAATTGCTGATAATTCCAAAGTCGGGTTACCCCCACCTGAAGCCTGAGTAGATGTCCTAGCAGAAGGTACCACTTCCAACATGGTAACACTTATTTTAAAATTCATAATGTAAACCAAACACAACTGTGTTGGTAAAGAAAGAAAGACAAACTCAGAAAATTAATTTCCATAACTGGGTTTTGAAATGAAATAATACCACTACGAAATATTAAAATGGAAATTATAGGTTGTAAACCAAAAAAAAAATGCTGCGAAAATTCAAATTTGATTTGAGAGAGCACTAAAGCAAACTTCATAACAAGCACTGCCAAACAAGAAGTAATAGTTAGATAGAATTGCATAGAGGGAGTTACATGAGTCACGTGTGTGTGAGGCACGTCTACTGGTGGAGGTTTGTCGCATGATAACTTGTATGTGTGAATCAGTTAAACCATGTGAACCGAGAGGGTATGCAGGATTAAAAGGCTTGTGGCATACGAAAAAATATTTTGCAAATAGAGGGCAGCACTGAACGAGAATAGCTATGTATGTGAGTGGAAGTAAGCTACCTTGTCAGAAAATATGATACTAATAATGATGAGGTAATAAGTATGTTCTGTTAAATACCAGACTAAAAATTTAGTTTTATTTATTTATTATAAGGTGGCCTTTTCCCCTGAAAACAAATTATAAATATACTTTAATTACAATTAGGTGCTTGGAAAACAAATTGCTGAGACCCCCAATGTAAAGACAAAAAACTTTGGGAAAAATCAGTACAAAGATTAGTTAATAACTGGAGAAGATACCATTTAAAAAAAACTCGTTTGTTTATTGTTTTAATTCAAAAGAAATAAAAGTTAAATATAGTGAGTCTTGCTTTTCATTGAACTTATAAGGCTTTCTAGAAGAAACATGACATTTAAAAGCAATTGAAATTAACTTATTGTTACAATTAAAATACATATTGTTATGACAGCGGAAGTCACGTGAGGCTGGGAGCATGCGTGCTGGAGTTTCTAGAAGGATCATGACTTATCGAGGAACCTCGCGAATGTCCGAGTGTTTGCCAGGCACCCTCTTTTTTAGTATATATGCCTGGCAAATAAAGCCAGCGATAGATTTACAAAACATTCATCAGATCCTTATTAGATTATGGCACAATGATTACATGTAACATGAATAATAATCAACAGCAGATTTTACAAAAACTGCAAAACAAAGTAATACGTCTCACCTACTGCCTCCCCCACTACACACCTGTGTGCTACGTTGAAAAATACACATCACTACACACTATACAAAACTGCATTTCTAAACTTGCCGCCAAATACTACAAAAAAGCCACCCACCAAAATTCACTCACAGTCGAATTTCATAAAATTGCCGCCACCACCAAACAATGGTGTAAATACCTATCCCCATATAACATGATACACAACAACACCACTACCACACCTCCACGATCCACAGAACTACTTATAACATATTATATTCTTTGCATAACCATTTCACTGTTCAGTATCTTTTGAGGTCTTCAACCCGTCAATAGATCTTCACTTGGGCACTAGTCGGGCTTCTATTCGGCCCTGACTAGCGAAAGTGGGTTTTCTTGGGGTACTCCCGTTTCCCCCCACATCAAACTCTTTGGCATTGAATCTATAGATCCCAGCCTTGGCACTTGGATCCACAGATCCCCGCCAGGCCCTCTAAAGGCCCGTTTGCTTCATTTTGTTTCGATAACTTGTCAAATTCGGCTGCCGACTTGCTCCTTCTTCAAAGATCAACCGGCCTCTGCTACGCCTTGGACTTGCCTTCACTTCCGCCTACTTGCCTCACCATCATACGTAT